AAATTTTTTAGTGGTGTATAATGGATTGAAATTTTCCAAGAGTCCCCTGTTTGTGTTGTTCTGGTTAGAGACTTAGCTGTTTGTAATGGTTCTGTCTGTTATAGGATTTACAGTAATTTCACTTAGCATATGAAAATTCAATGGTTAGGGAAGCATAGATATAAAAAATGAATTAAGGTTGACTAGCAGCAGGCCATTCCCACGAAAACGAGAGCACTGCTTGTTCTTAGCACAATAGGGGGAAGAGGAGCTCACTCATTGTTCGATGAATCAAAATGCATATCAACTTCATTGGACAATAAGGCAGAGGACCCACTGCTACTTTGACCAGTGCTAAACACCCTTGTTGCTACATAGCATTATTCTTCGAAAATGTGAAAAGTAATTTTGGGGAGTCTTAATGGAATAAAATGAGGACAATGTCTATGATTTTCATATGAAAATAATAAGATATACAAAGATCAGAATATCAAATGCGTGGAACCAGTTTTTTAAAATTTTGACTGATTTGATTATGTTAGTAAAAATGAATATCACTTTTCTCTCATTTGCCATGTTGCCTTCTTTATGAATGATTTTGAATGAGAAACTTGAGGTATTTAGTTACTAAACTGACTTCCATGTTATCTCAGAACAGATACAGCTTGGTCTTTACCAATTGCAGCATTAAAGCTGCATTTATATCTGACAACTCCCATGCTTAAACTTTTGCAAATTTTAGAACTCTCCGTTTTTACTGGTAACATGTAACAGAATGTGTTGTTTTTCATTTATGAGAGAAGCATCATTATGTCAAATTTACTTTCATTTTAATTTTTCCTCTACTGTTAGGCGAGAGCCACATTTTAATGTCAGACTTCTGACCATTTGCTTCGTCCAAGTGAATCACTAGACACATTTTCTGCTTGTGTGTCTCTAAGCATTCTCACGATACATCCCTTTGTTTTTTTATTTTTCTGGAGTTTTGGTAAAAAAAATATCTAATATTCCGTAAACTTATTTTTTTTAGTTTCCATGCACCTACGTTGATATGTTCTGCATGTCATAAAATTAGTTTTTACCTGTTTTTGCAGATTCCGGGTGATGGACTAAAGATGAAGGAGGTAGCCAACTTTTAGCATTCTTTATTTTATTTTATTTTTTTGTGTGTGCAATTGACTCATTAAGCTGGAATTCTCATTGCCCTCTCTCAAATTAGGAAATCAATTTTTTTTAAGAAAAAATATCTCAGATTTTGGGATGGTTCAAATTCAGTAAAATCCACTGATAGAATGTAGACCAAAATTAACATAAACTGATATGGTGGTAAAAGCGATTGATTATATTGTACCTTTAGTAAAGGTAGACTCAAGCTAAACGAATGAGGAAAAGGATTATTTAGTCAACGCCAAGTTTATTCGGAATAAGGCTTGGATCCAAAATATAAGTGATGTAGCCCATGCATTCTCAAATTAGGAATTGTTTTATAACTAAATTCTTCTTATTTAAAATGATGTAATATTAACAATGAACCTTCAACCTGTGCAGTGGTAATAGATTATTGAAATTTCACCGACTTTGACAACAAATCTTGTTTGGACAAGTTCCATGGAAAGCATCATGATATGTGCAACTCATCTTTGCAGTTCTTAACTCCCTTAATCTTCATTACACCATGGCCTTAGTCATAATTTCTGCTTTTTAGCCTATATACAAACAAGATTCTTCAGAAAAGCAATCTACCCTTTCTTAGTCACATATAATTCAATTCCACCTTGGGAAAGTGATGGAGTTCATGAAGGTCTTATTCACTTTTAGCATTCCTAGAATGTATCAGGATATTTAACGACAATGTTTAAATTTTCTGATATTGATCCTCAAGTTACTCATTCTAGATTTGTTCATGTAGTCATATGAGGCGAACTCTAGAGGCTTGGAAATTTTCTCGAAAAGTTGGCTTCCGAAGAGCAGTTCCCCAAGAGCAGTGGTTTGTTTTTGTCATGGTTATGGAGACACTTGCACATTTTTTGCAGAAGGCACGTGGCTTGTAATAAAAGCATGAAGTTACAGATTTATTTTAGAGAAAAGTGATACTAAATGATTTTCTGGCATTATTTATAGGAATTGCTAGGAAGTTAGCATCTTCAGGGTATGGAGTTTTTGCCATGGACTACCCAGGATTTGGTCTATCTGAAGGTCTACATGGTTATGTTCCAAGTTTCGACAAGCTCGTTGATGATGTTATTGAACATTACTCAAAAGTTAAAGGTATGACACCGATCAATTTATTTCATAAAAATTTCAACAACCTCTATGATGAATTTGTTTTGGGTTGGTTGTTTTGACTTTTAAGTTATCAAAACCACTGTAATAATTTAAAAAAAAAAAAAATTCCGATTTTTGGATTCGAACATCCTCTTTTGAATTGGTGCATAGATTTTGGCGAGAGTTTAAAAATGAGTATTTGATATAACTTTTCGTTTTTCCCTTAAATTAGTGACTAAACATTAAATGAGCGGCTAAACCTCTTTTTAAGTCACGTTGTGTACTCTAAGGAAGATACATTTGGAAAGAAAATACTATTTAGGAAGGACATCATTCAGGGAACCCAAAAAGAGAATGATGTCATTCAATTCTGGACTGAAAGGGTAATAATTTGTGGATCGGGCTATAAGTCTCAGACCTTGCTTTGACATTGTTTTGCATACCTCATTGGGGCATTGATTTTCATCCTCTTTGTTCGTAAGAGGAAAATTGCTAGTCATTCTTGCCTACATAGAAACTGTGGAGCAAACTGTTTCCAAGATGGAAAATTGCAACTCTCACCTTTAAAATAAATTTAGAGGTTTGTTATTTCCAACAATTATTTTTCTTACTTAAAGGAAGCTTAGAGTTTTTCCTTCTTCTAAGGACTTGTCAGTTAGGATCGAACTATAATGTTCATGCTTATTAGCCTCACTTTATCGATGGACATTTTGGGCCTAATGCTTCATTAATCCAGAAGTCACTGTTTGTTGCAATGTCAGAAAATCTGTATATCAAGTATAGGAATGTCAATTCTATATCTACGAGTTACTACTTATTGTTAGTTTCTAATTATTACACCATCTTGTGTCCAAATGTGATGGGAGAAACTTTAGTAGTGATTTATGGTTCAACCATGATAGTCATGAATTTCTTTGCTGATACTTTTTATTTGATACTTTTTATTTGGAGAAAGCCTTAAGCTTCTGAAATAAGCAATTCAATAAATTGATTGTTCCCTACTGTTCGTGGCTTGCATGCATATGCTTGTGGTAACAATGATGAAAGAATCAACTGACTTAAAATCAAGGTACATTTTCTATAGAAGCATGCATATGACTGAAACAATTAGCAAAAGGTTTGGAAGACCTAATGAGGCTCCATATAAAACAAAATGATAAGAAAAAAATCATTCGTAAAATGTTGTGACTGCTACCCTTTCAAAATTTTAGTTCCTTTCAAAAGGACCGCAACAGAAAATTGCAATGGACAACTTAGAAGTCGCTATGTGATGCAGGAATGCATTCTAAGTAGATGACCAGCGTAGAACATGATGATGTGTATATTTGTCTATTTGCACAGGGCTTCGTAGTACTTGCATTCTTCTTATTAGTACATGAGAAATCTGTTGAAAAGAGTAATTTAAAGTTGGCAGTGTTCTCACTTATGAAAGGGAGGAATTGTTGATTTTATTTTCTGCAAGGGGAGTCATTTATTTCATATGAGGGTTTTGGAATCGACCTTCCACTAGATAAAGTTTTGGTGAATTGAAGAAACTAGTTAAATTCTGCCAACCTGAATCTTTGGCATTTGGCCTTGTTATTGACCTCAAACTGCTTGCTTTCATTCTTTTAAGTAAAATGCATTTCTTTCTTACTACGGGATGCAGAAAACCCAGAATTCTGTGCTTTGCCTAGTTTCCTGTTCGGACAATCTATGGGGGGAGCAGTGGCTCTGAAGGTGCACCTGAAACAACCTGATGCATGGAACGGTGCCATTCTTGTTGCACCTATGTGCAAGGTAATATATCCATATTGTTTCTGACGAAGCATTTTTATAATTCATTTGTGCACTGGATTGATGGAATCTTTTATCTAGATTGCAGGGGACATGGTTCCACCATGGCTGGTGACCCAAATTCTAATTGGAGTGGCAAAATTACTTCCAAAATGGAAGCTTGTTCCACAGAAGGATTTAGCTGAGTCGGCATTCAGAGATGTGAAGAAGAGAGAACAGGTCTGTGTTTTTACTTCGAATGGACAGATCTCTTTCAAGATGAGGAAGGTCTAGACATCTAGATTTAAAAATATTGTTTAGGATATAGAAATATTGCATCCCTTTAACCCGAAGGGGTAGTTCAGTGTTCAGGCCTTGTGTTTGCTCCCCAATGATCACCAGTTCGAGTCCCCTCAGGACCACTGAGATGAGTACCTGTGGGATTATAGTCGAGATGCGCGTAAATTGGCCGGACACCCATGGTCATATAAAAAAAGAGAGGAAATATTGCATCCCTTTAGGTACCTTTTGAGCTAAATAAAATGGAAAGGGAATAGGTTTTTTTAAGGGGTATATAGTACATTCTACCCTGACTTTTACCTTTTGACACACTTAGCCCCCATTTGGTAGCAATTTCTCACTCCTCAAAAATCAATTTTTTGACTGATATTTTACTATTCCGACTGGTGGGGCCTACTTTTTTCTCTAATGGTTAAAAAATCAATTTTCATAATCACCATCGAGCAAGCTTTTAATAAGAATGTGATAACCAGATGTATATCTCATCTTCTTGACTCAGGCTGCCTACAATGTTATTGCTTACACACATAAACCACGTTTACGAACAGCCTTGGAGATGCTGAGGACCACAGAAGAGATAGAGCGACAATTGGAAAAGGTATCGATTGTATCCATGAAAACCATACCAACTTTTCTATTTTGTTGTTATCTGATAGCTTGTTCATCTATGATCTGTTCTATATAAGGATTACAGAATCCTGAATTTCCTGCTTTTGGTGTTATTTGAAGATTATGGATATTATGAAAGCATTAAATTTTTCCTATTATATTAGGAAAGACACCATTCATTTAGGCCCTGAAAATGGAAATTTTGAAGTATTGTGAATGACGCGAAAAAATTGTTGATACACTTACTGATATTGTTTAGCTGAGTTCAGTTAATGCCTGCTTAAATTAAAACATGTTTTTGGAGAGGCACATGAGTTATGTTTCATAGAAGAAGGAAAATAAAGAAAAAATGGAAAAGATTTTATGTTTTCAAGATTGTAAGAGACCCAATGCCTGTCTTTTGGAGTACCATGAGATGGAAGACCATCAACTTGAATGCTCACATGTTTGTTTGTATATGAATCCGTGTAGACATATGAAATATAAATTCGCGCACACACAAATATGTACTTACAAGTGCATGCACGTTTTAACATATGATATCTATATATTTTCTTTCCCATTCCACCGTAGCTGATCTATAGTTTTGAAATTCCTTACTCTTCTTGCTGGAAAGATCTAAACTGCAATGTCATGTATTGAGGCTCAAGTGAAACAGTCTTGTAGTGAATAGATCATCAGCTAGGGACATATCTTAGGTGGTGGATGTAGGCCAATGTAAACCATTCACATTCTTCCATTCTTGTGGTACGAATCTCGACTTTGTGACTTGGGCATGATAATCATGCAACCTGAGTGGAGAATAATTAAACGTTTGGAACCAATTGTTGAACCCCCCCACCCCCACATGCACACGCACTAAGTTGTACGCCTAATGAACAGAAGGGGAGCAACTGTTACAACTTGTATGAACCACCTTAACGATTCTACATTACCTGAAAATCTTTTATCATTTACTCTCCGGCAAAGACGTTGGGGTCCCAAATGGGATTGATTGTGATGTCCTCAGTGCTTAAGCAAAACTTGGAATTTCCTAAGTGTTCGCCGGGGGGGTGAAATTCTATTAATTTGTAGGATATCCTAGCCCAAGTGTTCAACGTAGTCATATGCAGGAGTAAGAGCGGAAGCAAGATGGAGAGGGTGAGAGCATTATGTGAGAGCTGGAGTGCCTGAGAACATGGATTAAAATAATTAAAACTGAGGTATATAAATATCTTCTTAAACGCAAGCTCAACAGTTTGTCTTAAGTTGGTTGATGAACCATCCTGGTAGTGGTGGAATGAAAGTTAGTGCACCTTAGTCATCTTATCCCAAGTAAAAAAATAAATAAAGAGATAAAAGAATTAAGGCACACTAATAGTCTTTTCCTAAACATACTACTGAATTTGCAGTCGTAACATTTGCCATTTTACAATTTGTAGGTGTCTCTGCCATTATTGATCTTGCATGGAAAGGCTGATAAAGTGACTGATCCATCTGTGAGCAAGGCATTATACGAGAAGGCAAGGAGCCCCGACAAGAAGCTTAACCTTTACGATGATGCTTATCACGCTCTTCTCGAAGGGGAGCCAGACGAGATGATACTTCGAGTATTTGGTGATATCATATCTTGGCTAGACGCGCATTGCTGAACATTTGCCATTCTTACCTCCTTTGCATATTTTTCTGCCTCTCATTCTTTTTTCCCCGTAAGGCAGGGAGGGGTAGCTTTGATTGAATAAATGTATTTATGAACATCATAAGAAGTATATATTCTGTTGCAGAAAAGAACACAAGAAGGGAGGAAATTATTGATATTGCATTTGATCTCGGTATTGTATGACTCGTGAAATACAAAGAATAAAACATCAAGTTTTGATTCTTTTCTCTGGGAATGTAGTTGAAATGGAATGGGATAACCCAAGGAGGCGACTTAATATATGCATATTTGATATACATGGATGAATCATATTCCCGTTCTTTAAATTATGGCCAAAACGATTTCCAACTGGATGTTTCTTTCGCCAAAAAGAATTTTGTTGTGTAATAGCCATAAACAAAATCTAATCTGGGCTTGAATTTCGTCATTTATCAGTCTTAAACCTAAAATCGTAAGGCTTAGTCATCCAAGCCAACTGAGGGAAGTTGTATTCGTCCCGTACCAAGATGAGAATGGACACTACACGAGTTAAAATTTTAAATACCGTCTAGTAGAATGCATGATATGTGAACAACGGAACGAGAAATAACATGAGTAACAAAAATTTTTCTTCAACTTTTAATCACATTCCTAAAACAAAATACATTTCTTCCTAAAAATGATGCTCAAACAGAGGATGTGAAAATACCTATATTCAAGTGGGTCTCATGAAATATGTAGATAATGGGAGGTCCTCTTTAAAATATAGAAAATTTAAGTTATAGCTAGATTCTCAAATTGTAGAATGCATGATATGTGAACAACGGAACGAGAAATAACATGAGTAACAAAAATTTTTCTTCAACTTTTAATCACATTCCTAAAACAAAATACATTTCTTCCTAAAAATGATGCTCAAACAGAGGATGTGAAAATACCTATATTCAAGTGGGTCTCATGAAATATGTAGATAATGGGAGGTCCTCTTTAAAATATAGAAAATTTAAGTTATAGCTAGATTCTCAAATTTTTTTTTTTTTACTCGCTTCTAAATAATAGTTATAAATGTATGACTAAAAGTCATCTTTGATTTTAACTTCAATTACGAGGAGAATATAATTTTACTCATTCATGTTAATATTAACATTGAGTGTCTATATGAAAAAATTCTAAAGTTTTAATTTTTAATTGGTCAAACTTCGATTTTGATCACATTTTATGAGATTCGCAGTTCTTATCAACTTTCAACCACATCATGCCCCTGTTTGATGTAGATTTAAAGTCAAATTTTTAGTAAATTTTGATAAAAATTAGTGAAATGTATAATTAAAATTAATTGTTGACTTTGACTAATTTTCAGAGTAAATCTATTAATTTATAGGATATCCTAGTCCCAAGCGATCAGCGTAGTCATATGCTGGAGTAAGAGCGGAAGCAAGAAGGGGAGGGTGAGAGCATTATGTGAGAGCTGAAGCACCTGAGAAAATGGATTAAAATAATTAAAACTGATGAGGTATATAAATATATTTTTAAACGCGGGCTGAAAAGTTGGTTGACGAAACATCCCAGTCGAATGATCTTATGGGTTAGTCTTTAGAATGGCTGGAAAATTGATCTTTTTTTCCACAATGGCCTTTTCTCTTGGAAGTACTATTTTGCTCTTACTATAATTATTTGCAAGATGTATCTTATATCTTTAAGGATTTATTAATCAGGACCTATATCTATATTTTTCAATCTTTCAAATACCTTTAAATATTCTTTATATTTTAGTAGTTAAGAAGGGAGGAAATTATTGATATTGCATTTGATCTCGGTATTGTATGACTCGTGAAATACAAAGAATAAAACATCAAGTTTTGATTCTTTTCTCTGGGAATGTAGTTGAAATGGAATGGGATAACCCAAGGAGGCGACTTAATATATGCATATTTGATATACATGGATGAATCATATTCCCGTTCTTTAAATTATGGCCAAAACGATTTCCAACTGGATGTTTCTTTCGCCAAAAAGAATTTTGTTGTGTAATAGCCATAAACAAAATCTAATCTGGGCTTGAATTTCGTCATTTATCAGTCTTAAACCTAAAATCGTAAGGCTTAGTCATCCAAGCCAACTGAGGGAAGTTGTATTCGTCCCGTACCAAGATGAGAATGGACACTACACGAGTTAAAATTTTAAATACCGTCTAGTAGAATGCATGATATGTGAACAACGGAACGAGAAATAACATGAGTAACAAAAATTTTTCTTCAACTTTTAATCACATTCCTAAAACAAAATACATTTCTTCCTAAAAATGATGCTCAAACAGAGGATGTGAAAATACCTATATTCAAGTGGGTCTCATGAAATATGTAGATAATGGGAGGTCCTCTTTAAAATATAGAAAATTTAAGTTATAGCTAGATTCTCAAATTTTTTTTTTTTTACTTGCTTCTAAATAATAGTTATAAATGTATGACTAAAAGTCATCTTTGATTTTAACTTCAATTACGAGGAGAATATAATTTTACTCATTCATGTTAATATTAACATTGAGTGTCTATATGAAAAAATTCTAAAGTTTTAATTTTTAATTGGTCAAACTTCGATTTTGATCACATTTTATGAGATTCGCAGTTCTTATCAACTTTCAACCACTTTTTTTTTTTTTACTTGCTTCTAAATAATAGTTATAAATGTATGACTAAAAGTCATCTTTGATTTTAACTTCAATTACGAGGAGAATATAATTTTACTCATTCATGTTAATATTAACATTGAGTGTCTATATGAAAAAATTCTAAAGTTTTAATTTTTAATTGGTCAAACTTCGATTTTGATCACATTTTATGAGATTCGCAGTTCTTATCAACTTTCAACCACATCATGCCCCTGTTTGATGTAGATTTAAAGTCAAATTTTTAGTAAATTTTGATAAAAATTAGTGAAATATATAATTAAAATTAATTGTTGACTTTGACTAATTTTCAGAGTAAATCTATTAATTTATAGGATATCCTAGTCCCAAGCGATCAGCGTAGTCATATGCTGGAGTAAGAGCGGAAGCAAGAAGGGGAGGGTGAGAGCATTATGTGAGAGCTGAAGCACCTGAGAAATTGGATTAAAATAATTAAGACTGAGGTATATAAATATATTTTTAAACGCGGGCTGAAAAGTTGGTTGACGAAACATCCCAGTCGAATGATCTTATGGGTTAGTCTTTAGAATGGCTGGAAAATTGATCTTTTTTTCCACAATGGCCTTTTCTCTTGGAAGTACTATTTTGCTCTTACTATAATTATTTGCAAGATGTATCTTATATCTTTAAGGATTTATTAATCAGGACCTATATCTATATTTTTCAATCTTTCAATGGATTAAAATAATTAAAACTGATGAGGTATATAAATATATTTTTAAACGCGGGCTGAAAAGTTGGTTGACGAAACATCCCAGTGGAATGATCTTATGGGTTAGTCTTTAGAATGGCTGGAAAATTGATCTTTTTTTTCACAATGGCCTTTTCTGTTGGAAGTACTATTTTGCTCTTACTATAATTATTTGCAAGATGTATCTTATATCTTTAAGGATTTATTAATCAGGATCTATATCTATATTTTTTAATCTTTCAAATACCTTTAAATATTCTTTATATTTTAGTAGTTTTTCAAAGATCCTAGGCTGACCTTTCTTGGTTATATATCTTCGAACTAATCCTTCTGAAATTTCTTCTTGTATATTTCTATATTTAGTTATAATATCCTCTACCTTTCTTATTTCTCTACTAGTTCCTACAGAATCAAATCCTATATTATTTTTACAATTATAATCTATATCTCTATATATTTCTTCAATTTTTTCTTTGCCAACAGGAAATATATCTTCAGACTTTTCATCTAATTTAAATAAAACGAAACATCTTTTTCATCTAAAAATAAAATGAGATTATTATCATTGGTAGAAGTAGATGTGGATGCTTGTGAATTGTTCATCAGAATAATTAAATCATAAGCATGTAAAAACAAGTAAATAACTTACAGTAATCAAATGGAAGTAAACAGGCTTTCCCTCCAGTATGCTCTTATAGATGTTTTGCATGTACTTAATCAATCTTCTGAATTAAGTAAAGGTTTAAAATGTTTTTAAAATCATTTGGGTCCACAACTGCTTCCACAAAAGGTTTTTCAATTAAGGTTGCATTTCTCACTCTAGAGAACTAGCCGTGTTGCCACAGACGCTATCTCACAGTATCCAGAGTCTCTGTTTTCACCTCTATCCGAACTCTTTTCAGAATCAAGTTCCTACTTGGAACGAAATTTTAAAAGATAACTCACACACAAAGTGCTACAATTTTGTTAAAAAACTGCATTTTTCCCCTAAACCATTCATCAAAGACAGGTATTTTGGCATGGCTAACATTCATTCAAAATCAATGTTTTGAAAATCTTTTAAAATCTCTATCTGTACTGCCGAGGAATCATGAGAAACTTAACGAAATCTTTTTATGAAAACTTTGTTGAACATAACAAACTTTACTTTGATATTCATAAACTGAAATTGTACATGCTTACAAACTATATTTACATACCTTTGGTACTCACCTTATAAAGTTTAGAACTCCATAAGTGATTACCTTATTACACGCTTTATTATCTTCAAGTTATCTAATATTTTTCTGGATACAAGTGATGTATACAGATTACAAAAGATATCTCTCTAAGATGTGTTTCCTCAGAGTGTTTAAGAGATAAGTTATTTCGAGATGTCTTCCTTCTTCCTCCTTGCCTCCTTTTATAGGAGCCTTTGGGAATCTTATTTTGACAGGTGTTTTCCATCTTTCTTTGTTGGGTAGCTAGGCCATCTTATCTCCACCGAATTTTTCATTATCTTTTTGCTAGGTGGACCTCTCTTTTTGAAATTATATGCCTTATCTTTTGAGTTTGTCTGCCACTTGTGACAATTGGTGGGGAGAAGTCACAATTATAGAGACTTTTCTTGCACTATCTTCTGTCTTTTAGTAGTCACAATTTTTCTTTAATAAATTTCTTTATTAAAGTAGTGATAAAGGGCTACTTTTGTCAACATCACTTTTCCATTTTCGAATCAAAGAATTCTACAGGAAATTCTTCATCATTAAGGGATGCTTGACTCATATCTTCAACTACACAGTATTCACAATGGTGATCACTGTAGTTCCAAAGTAATTTGCATAATTCTTTAGCCATATCTTCTGATCCATGCACTTGATTGGAAATAATTGCA